ATAAATAAAATAAAATAAATAAAAGAAATATATTATATAAAAGAAATATGTGTTATAGATGACATAGATGACATAGATGACATATATGATTTCCTAAAAATTGACATTATCTTTTAGATCATCATCATCCATATCTTCTTCTGTGTAATAATATTTATTGTGGGAAGCTGCCAATCCAGTATTTTGTAATTTTATCAAAATCTTTATTCAAAGGGTCAAAAACTCATATGTTATATTGGCTGAAGAGATTTTTGTTAATAAGTACAATTTGGAAGTCATAACAAATTTTGAGCAGCTTGTTAATCATTAGAGTGAATTCAAAGATTTGCTGTTATTATTTTTGATAAATAGCGATGAGTTACTTATTAGTTTGTGATTGTAAGTGAACATTATAAAAATTTGTATCAATAAATAGAATTTTAAATTCAGCTTCAGAAGTAGTATCTGAGAGTGTATTGTTATAAGTATCAGCTTCTTGAGAAGTTATGACTTTAATATTCAGTGCTTTTTCAACTATTTTAAGGCGAGATTGCAAAAATTTGGAAGTAAAATAAAGGTCACCAAAGATACTAGTAATAGATTCGAGTTGAGATATAATGAATTTCTTAAAGTTAGGGTCATGCATAGAGCTATCTGCAGCAGTTCCATTTTTTATATTTGGGGTAAGGTACATTTTATTATCAAAGACAGTATCATCATTCATAGGTTCGTCAGCCTAACTTATAATAGGTAGTTTAAGGGTATTCTTATTTGGTATAGCAATAGGTTCTCTGGTAGAGGAGAAGAAGAAGGTTATCTATTTTTAGTTTACAGACGCTTAACATTAGAGTTCAATTAGCTAACTATATCAGCAAATGTAATATTATCTCTAACAGCACTGTGAGATTTCTTAAATACAGTATAACCATTAAATTAAGTGGACTAAAACCTTTGGTAAAGATATTGGGTATTTTTATCATTTGGTATGTTTCATTTTCTTGGTCATGAAGATGCATTATGATATATTGATGAATAAATGACGCAGAGTTTATTTTTTATATCAGTCCATTCGAATTTTTTGTTGTTGTGAGTTTGTCAGTCATGATTGCAGCATCAGCTTTATCAGTATTGCGAAAGTAAAAGTATGCATATTATAAGTAATTATAATTTAATCTTATTTACAGAATAATCTAAGCGGTAGCATTGACTATCTTATTAATATCAAAAAGATCACATGCTGTGATGCCTCGTGAAAAATTAGTTAATTTTTTTAAAAATTTAGAGTGATCTTAGATTTTCTTTCTATTTTAGTCACACATAAAAATATGAACAGAGTCATTGATGATGAGTAATACATCAGTTGAACGAAGAAGATCAAATTTGGCTTTATCATCAAATGTGATAATATCACATTATCATAAGTTTCTAGTTTCTATAATATAACGTACGATGTTACTGTAACAAGTGAAAAAATTTTTAATTCATATAATTATAAAATCTAACAGGTTCTCAGTTACTGTGATCTATTATGCAAGTACAAACGGATGCAATTTTATATAATCAAAGGTAAAAATGTGACTTTATTTATATTAAAAATCTGTACTTTGTAAAATCATCATATTCATTAGAGTTTAAAAGACAACTTTGAGGATATTTATTAAGGGATCAGCAGGAAGTTTTTCATGTATAATATCTGTAAAAGAAGCATAGTTGAAACAATATTTGTCAGTAATTTCAGCGATCTTTAGTTGGGGATTCACTTCAAGGTATTTTTTGAGCAGAAAATATGTGAAAAATTTTTTAGCAATGAGCGGCATAATGAAAGTGACTGAGTGGTATCAATGGTATTTTCAGATGCATCAGATAGATCATTGATGTTCATTTCATCTTTTTTATTGTTGTTTGTTGTAACGTCAGTACTGTATTAGTTGTTTTAGCTTTTCCTTTATCAAGAGGTAGGGGTGTAGTTTCAGATATTTGGTCAACTTCCATAGTGACTACAGGAGGTTGTGTAATATTAGAACTTTCAGCTTCGGCTTCATGTTCAGTTGTTTGAGTGGTATTTTATTTTTTTTGAGGTGATAATTTTTCTTTAACTGGCAACACAAAGCGACCACGGTTGTTAGATTTTTGTGATTTTTTTGAGCATTTTTTGGTGATTAGCAGAAAGAGTATCTCATCTCAAAATTCAATGTTAGATTAAGAAGGTATAATGTTTATATGTAATCATGTTTTTCATCATATACAGTATGTTTTTCAAAACAAATAATAACTGTAATTATTGTTTAGAATTCTATAAAAAAGATGTCTTTAATGTAAAAATCTTATATAAAAGATTATAAAATGTTAATAATATTAATGATAGTTTATTAGATGATGAAAAACTAGATAATAAAAATAAAATAGCAGCAATAGTAAAAAAAATATTGGTAAATTTTAAACTTGATAAATTAAATAAAATATATTTTAAAATACATATCTTTAGCCTTAAATTTTCGGTTCTCATCTAATTTTCTTTAGAGCAGAGATCTCCAGATCTTTTTTTACCCAACTGTAAAGAAAAAAACGAACGAAATATTGATGCAAAAAAAAACTGTGTATTGATAAATTAGTTTTAAATCAATTGAAACCGAACGTTACACAATATAAAAAGATCTACATTTGATTTTATCAGCTCGTACGTTCATTATGCGAATCAATATAGGTGCAGTATTTACTGTACATTACTTTAATCCTGCTTAATATATTTTCTAACCACATCTCATCGACGGATTGCCAAATTTTTGTAAAATAGCAAGGTGGAGGATTATCATTCAACTTTCAAAAGCTCATATCACAATATTCATTTCCGGTGATTTGTACGCCAAATGCTTATTTAATTTAATAAAAAATTTACTATTCATCGGAGCTAACTTAATTTTATGAAAATATGTCTAAAAATATGCCCAAAGAGGCCAAAATTCAGCAAGGAATAATTCAATTTTAAACTTAAATGCCATGCTAGTCAATTTAAAATTTCAATTTCAATTTTCTATGAAATTAGAAGAAGGATCAAGTACTTTTCCTGCGGAATAACTAGCCAGCTTTTCGGGGCTGATTTCATGAATGCTGTCACGGATGATTGGCCGAATCTCAGAGATGAAAAAATTTAGTGGCAATATACTTGTTTCAAACGGCCTTACCCATTCATCTTCTAACAAATCACGATCACCTTCTACATTTTTAATTGTAATGATTTCATTTTCGATGTCTACAAGGAAATTTTTTACATCCTTACGATATAAATCAAAGATTCCAGTGCCTTGCGTCTGTTGTTTGGTCAAACTGGCTATAGATTCTAACCTATAATTGGAGAAAGGAATTATTTACTTTTGGTAACTTTAAATAATGATATTTTGTTGAATTTGAATTTTAGAAAATCTTACATTAAACAAGTCGCGCTAATTGACGGATTGCCATAATCTTTCAACATATTGAGAATTTTATTTTCAAATTCTTTTACCTCTTCTCTCTTTTTTTTGATTTTCTCGTCGATGATTTCGAGCTGTTCGTTCTTTTTAGCTCTTGCCTGTTCGACTTTATCTTTGGCTGCCTCCAACTTTTTCCATAGAGATGCGAGCTCTTTCTTGCATTCCGCTTCATCTAAAATTTCTTTATTTTCTTGACTTGCAATTTCGGATAATTCTTCTTTGATAAGCATTTTTTGCTTCCGCAATACTGTTAATGTATGGATTTTATTATTAGCTTAAAGTTATTTTAAGAAATCTTCAGATGGATATTATTGCTAGTATTGAACCTTCAAGATCTTTATTCCTTATGATGAAGCGAACAATACTTGTGCTGGTTGCAACTGAAAGAGCTTGGCTTTCAAGATAATCCCGGCTTTTTTGGAGCATTTCCTTTTCCTTTAGAAGATCTTTCTTCAGGCGCTCATGATGATCATCCGATTTCGTTTTATAAAATTCTATTTCGCCAATAATTCTGGCAACTTCATCGAATTCTGCAATAACCTCTATGAGCTTTTCTTGCCTTTCTTTTTCAAGAGCTTCTAGTTCTTTCTTACACTGAGCCTGTTCTTCGACCCAACCTGGAATAGCTTGGGAACCTGAAATCTTCATAAAATCATCGAGATTATTTTTGAGATTTTCAACTTTCTCAGTGTCAAGTTCACATTTCTTATTTAAAAGGACATTCAAACTTTCTATAGGTTTTTCTACGAAATGGAGATACTTGGTAAGCGGTTTATCCTGAAGTTTCGGATTATTGGCGATTTTCATGAATCTCGCGATTCCATTGGAAAGTCTTTCCATGGCACCAATGATGTCTATCAAATTTCTTCGAATTTTTGCACTCTCAAAGAGAATCTCGGAGAGTTGTTGAGGAATTTCCGTACTGTTAAAAAAAATAACGCGCATATAAACAAAACAAATATTGAAAGGACGAAAACTTAACGGAATAGTTAATAAATGAATAACTAACATTTCTTTAGATAACTCCCTCTTTTCTTTTTCCGTAAAGGCAATACGAGCATGGACGGTAAAACAACTGCTTATGACACTCACTTGGTTCATAACCATATCAAACATCGGGCTAATCAATTTAAATCTTTGTTCATTGCCAATATAAGGATTTCGCTGTGTAATGTTTTGCTGTTGAACTTTCAACTTCCTTTCAAAATCTTGAATTAATTGGTCATTTCTATTCTTGTTATCCTCCATGGCAAATATGAGAAATAAGAATTTGAAATTGAACTCCTTGACAGAACCAAAGCCCATTTTAAAGAAAAAAAGGGGATACAAAAAACTATACGATCACAAGATGGCGTTTTCAATGAATATGTTTGTTGTGCCCCAAGTTGCGATTTACCCCAACTTTAAATTGGCAACTTTGGGGAGTTAATGTAGATTGGTTTGTGGGTCGGTATTTGCAGTTAGTCCTTTGTAGATCATTTTGACAGTTTGACACGATGCCAGGTAGTTATGATGACAGGTTTGGTAAGATGCCAGGCCCCGTTCAAATTATTTTTTTTTTATAAATATGAATCGAAAAACTCAACATTTCGCGATCACCCTTTTTATACACCTTAAACCTTCCTTTCCTCCCTTGCGATATGTTTCGCATTCGCCGTTTTTTATCATTTTAAACTTCATTTATTTTAAAATCCCGATTTTTCTTTTATTTTATTTTATATTTTGTAATTGCGCAGTGTTTAACTAATTAGTATTGTTAGTATTATTAGTGATTAGCAATTATTAGTTTATATATTGACATTGCGAGGCAACACTGACTAATTGATATTTTTAAATAAATATTTGTCACAATTACTTCATTTTTATTCAATAAATTCCTTCGCTTACCAATACAAATTTGTTATATATACATAAACAAAAACTGAATACAACAAGTAGTTTTATTTTTTGGGAATGCGATCATATAATGTAAATAATAATTTGATTTTAATGAATGATAAAACTATTGCGATTTTTGATTATTTTATTACATCTTCTTCACATGAATTTCTTTTAAAAATTTTCAAATAATAAATAGTTTATTTCATAGTGTCCGACCAAAAAAAAGGTTCGCAGAAATAAGGTCAAATGCTTACTATGACGGGAACAAAAAATAAAGATTTCCCGGTCTTTTTAAGCGATTTACATAAATAATGGTCATGAGTCGCTATGGCATATCTGGTATTAGAGCAAAATTAAAATTTTTTGAACTAGAAAGCTTGTTACAAATTAAAACGTAATTCATTTTCATTATGAGGAGAAGAGAAGTATTATCGGGGAAAGGAATACTAGTAATAATCGTATTTTTCCTTGGCGTTGATTGGATGTTTTTTAAAAGACAATAATCGTATTTTCCTTGGTGTTGATTGGATGTTTTTTTGCAAACAACATATGGAATATAATAAAAGCAATTTATAACCGTTGCTCTACCAAATCAACCCAAATTCCTGTTTCTAATAAGTTGATTAATCCAACAAAATCTATTCGGAACATTCTTATTATAGGAGAAACAGGAAATGGTAAATCGGCATTGACAAATGTTCTATCAGGCAAAGAAAAATTTGCTGAAAAATCTGGGCTTACTAGTGGAACCAAAAACATACATATTGAAGATTTTGAATGGAATGGAATGGAATACTATATCGTGTAATCGATACAATCTGGACAGCAAACACTGCTAATCTTTCGAACATGAAAATAATATCTATTATTAGGGAATTCTTTGTATAATATGAGTTGATTGCTAGGAAAATCAGGTTCCGGGAAATTTTTAACAAAATTGAGATTTTTATTGCATTTTAGTTTTTGATGTTATTAGATTAAATTGTATTAAGCTCTTAATTTAAGTGAAAAATTTCTCGGAACCTGATTTTCCTAGAAACCCTCCCATATTGAAGGTGAAATCATACATATATTTTTTGTTCTCAACAATCGTTTCACCAAGGCGCAAGTAGAAACCTTTCAAACCCAAATTCCCAGATTATAATTCGTGTATTACTATTGTTCGCTCAAATTTTCCTGAATTTGAAGACAAAAATAAATGTGAAGACGACATTAATGAACTGCTCAAGTTCGAAAGTGTTGCTAAAGTAATTAAAAATTATAGAATCATTCATAATTGATAACCCACGTTGCTATTCAGAAGCAAAACGAAAGCGCGAATCTTCAAGACAAATCTTGATTAATTATTCATATAATTTCAAAGAACGTATCAATGCAGATGAAATATTTGAGATAGTAAAAAATAATATAGCAAAAAATAATCAAACTTTTTAGTCGCCTTTAAGTACTTATAAGGATCAAAAAAGGAGGATAATTTTTGGTGGTTATAACATACTCAACGTTCTTTTACTATTAAGCGGATAATGACACATTGATTTTTTTTTTCTTTAATAAATAAATATTGGATCTTCTGACGATATCTATTATTGAAAATAATTCGTTATTGATATTAATTTATTTTGTACTTTATTAAGTGATTCAATTGCCAATAATAATAAAGTCTCGTTTTGCATCTCGAGTGATTTGTAAACACAAGATCTAATAAAGTGGGTAATGCATGAGGTAGGAAACCTTCACTAGGTTTAGAAGATTTTGTTCGAGAATTTATAGTTTTATCAAATAAATCCAGAAATATTCCATCCAAAATCATTTGGGAAGATTGCTATTGATAAAATTAAGATTTTAAATAATAACATCAAAAACTAAAAATCTCAATTTGTTTAAAAAAAATTCCTAGAACCTGATTGATTCTTCCAGAACATTTAGATATTTAATAAAATTAATAACAAAATACCCTAACGCGTATCTAATATTTTTTATATCTCTTGATACAATTAACGTCAAAAACTCTTCATATTAATTTTTGTAACAGATTTCATCACGCAAACTATGTGGATCACGCGCAAATGAATTATTTATTTAAATCTATTTTCATTTTTTCATTGGGGGGGGGGGGGGTTTGCTGATGGGGGATTAGAGTTCTAACACATCTGTCACGTGTTGTTCGATGAAATTCTGCAAAATGTTACTGAAGGATCATAAGTTTTTCTCTGCCAATACGCATTGGGAAAAATAGTGTACTAAAAAATATCGATATGTAATTGATTGAGCGGGTATTCCAAAAGTAAATACAACGCATATAAATGTAATGAAACCTACTGCAACGGAGTTATTGTTTCCTAAATTAATAGGTGCAACATTTGACTTCTCGCTAAAAGAATTTTTATTATAATATATTAACAAAAGTTCCCGATTATATATCTAAATGACAAATATAATTCGAAATATCAGAAAATAACATAATACCAAACGTGATACGAAAGGAATTAGTAATTATGGAATTTATTTTGTTGTTGTCATTTTACACTTCTAAATTGGTTAAACTTCATATCCGGTTCGTCATTACTAGGTATAGTTGTATAAATACCGGAAGATTATTTTCAATCGTCGCGAATAAAAAACATTAATATAGGAAGTATCTACTGTAAATTATTAAATTGAAATGTTTAGATTTTGAAAAAATTAAATTTTAAGCGAACCGGTTCGTATATTTCAGAATTACCGGGAATGAATAATTAGTATATCATTTAAGCTCCTTTATTCACTCGTTCAATATCACTAAATAAGATATTTTTTAAAAAAAAATGGAGGCGTAATGTCTTCGGTGGTATAGAAAATAGTTGAATAAGGAACTATGGAATAATAAAGCGTCTTGAGCGGAGTACATTATTATTTACCAATAGAGAGAGAGTTTCTAAATATATAATACATGTATATTCAATAAACTTTCATGTAAAAATGTTTACAGTAAAAAATTTCTCTTAATTTATTATTATTAATAAAAAATGATATTTAATTAAAAACTTTTTCTTTATTCGATCATTATACTTTTATCTAATAAACCAAGAAAAAGTGCATTTGTTAATTACGTGGGGTTTGTAACTTAAAAATAATCTCACGTAAAGGGTATTTTCTAATGGTTTGCGAATCTGGATAATTGTGCATTTCGACAAATATAAATTTGTAAATGAAAAAAAAAAAAGAAAGTGAGTAGACTTTGAGTCGAATGAAAAAGGTATTTAATTCATTCAAGCAGATATTCGTCCTCTGGACAAGAATTTTAAAGACAAGATTGATAAGTAAATTTAAGATATAGTTCCTTTTTATTGAATGACAACTATACGTATCTGATCGAACAGAACGCCGACATTGAGGCAGTACTTTAATTACTTTGGTATTATATTAGTATTTCGCTATTATTAATATATTTAAAAAAAACTTAAACCTAACATCGTTTATAACAAATAAACGGGCCGCACTCATTTCACCGACAAACTTTTCACCGACAGAATCATTTCACCGACATTTCAAAAAAAAAAAAAAAAATATTTTGTAAGTTAAAAAATTATAAATTCTATAATTTATATTTTACAATTAATTTGATTATTTATTCCGAAATATTTATTAATTGCCCATCTAAATTAATATGTAACATTGATAAAATATGTAAAATGACTAAATAACATGACCGCTGAATTGAAAAATTCCTTTTTTTTTTTATTATTATTATAATCTTTTAAATGTGAAGTTTAATTTATTTTATTTTTCTATTAAAGATTAATTTATAATGTAAAATTTGATAAAATAAAAATAAAAATAAACTGCTGACGAAATGATCGTGTCGATGAAATGATACTGGCGGTGAAACGTTTGTAGGCGAAATGAACATGTCGGCGAAATGATTGTGCTGGTGAAATAATCGTCGGTGAAACGTTTGTCGGTGAAATGATCCTGCTGTCGGTAAAATAATGGTCGGTAAAACGTTTGTCGGTGAAATGAACCAGACCCCCAATAAACATAAAGAACTCCACGATTAACAATCTGTTTGTTTATGTTTATTTCACAAAACCATTTCCACAATAAAAAAAAAAAAATACTTGTAACAATACTTTATTATATTTGTACATGATGTTCAAAGAATTACTAATCCAATATTGATAGTAACATAAAAAAAAATTGGTTCGTTAAGAATGGTGGAGGAAATGGACGATCTAAAAAATTATTGCAAATGCAAGCTGTGACACCTGATCATATAGAACTATCGGAAGTTGCTATGTAAGAAACTCTCTAAGTTGGCTTCGTATTCTGACCAAAGTGTATACAAATAAAAAAGTACAGAATCAATCACATTAATGATCAATAAAAAAAATTATAATTAATAAGCAGGATCATAATAAACAATATAAAATAGACTAAAGGAACAATTTTTCTGTCAAGTAACTTTACAAATTCATTCTCAAACTTTTTATTTGACAAAACAATGTCTCTTTTCTTTATATAAAGAACAATACGCGCGAAAATATTCCTCTTACCACACCCTCCCCCGTAATCTGAAGTTACACACATAATAATAAAGTGGTCACCACTTAGAGTTGGTGCAGTCATCTCTAGGCTCACTTGATCACTTCGCTATGCTCAAATAACTAATTAATACACGACTTGAAAACATCCTCTTTAAAGAGAGAACATACTTATGGATCGATTATATGTCCATCAAGCGTCGTGATCAAACCCATGAATTTTACACGATTTGGAGGTTCATCTAATAATTTCAAATACCTTATCAACAACAATTATCTAAAGAAAAGTTTTTTTTTTTTTTTAAGGTTATCATGTACTGTAGTTAAGTGATCAATTGGATAAACCGAATCCTCACCAGGTAACGTGATGTACTGACTCTATTAGTGGGACAAAAATTTAGTTCCGAAAATCCGGAAATTCAAATTAACATGAATCATCGTCCATCATCCTAGAATTAATCCTTCTAAGACTACACAAACACCTTTATCATCAGTTAGTTCACCTTCGACTCACTTTTTTGCTCATACGACGACTCATTCATTCTCACAGCCTCCCACATCTACTAACTTACCATCACGTCCAAATAATAATAACAACGTTTCTTATCTAAACTAATCTGATTCACTCCAAAAAGGTAAGACTCTAAAATTATAAAGTATATAAATAAATATGCATCGAAAAATATTTTGTGTTTGTGGGTAATCCCGATGGACGACGATCAACGGGGCACAAATAGGATTTTCACCCGAAAATCAATTCAAAGTGACAAGTTATATGAGGTCACGTGGTGTGAAATTTTTTATGGAAGGGTCGGAGGCGTCATTTATTGAAGATTTTACTATAAGTGTATATTTTGGCCGGTCAAAAATTTATCACAAAGTTTGGTCGTTTTGACGGCCAAGCGGCCGGGTGCATTGGGTATTGAAAATTTCCGTGGAATTAACAGAAACTCTTTCGATTTCTTTTTCTTTTTTCTATATTTTTGTTATTTGTTATTTCTAATTTAATTTAATTTTTTTTTTTGTGAAAATATCTTTCTTGAAACTTCCGTGTATGCAGGCTCAGCCATCCACCAACCACCTTTATTTGTTTATGCAGAATTTCTTATTTCTATATACGCAAAGCCCATAAATATTCTTAAAGTATGTGCATACATGCAATAAAGACAGTTCTGTTAAATTTTTTTGTATGCAATGTGACAAAAAAAGAAATGATAAAAGTAATATTTTCAATAGCATCATTTATAAAAGCCTTAAATTGCTCATCACTACCTCTTTAATCACGTTCAATAATCTTCATTATCATTGTTTATATTTATAGGTTTTAAGGGGATACTAAGCCCGAAATGATTGATGAATCGTGGATTCTGATCATTTACTTATCATTGCCGTATCATGATAACCTTCCCCATAGAAGCTATTTAGACGTGCAACCTTCACTTTATTTCTCTATCTACAATAATTTTTACCAAATATTTATGAAGTTGATTTTACGAAAAGAAATTTCATCATTATCAAAATTTTAATTAATCACTTTTTTTTTTTATTAATAACGCATTACATACAATATATTGGGAAACTTCAAAGTATATTTACTAAAATAAAAGGATCATATTTCGCAGTAAAATATAAATTTTTGTATTATTAATATATATATATATTGACTAAAATTAAGTATTTACATCAGAAATATGCAAATTAAAGTTTGTTGAATAATTGGTAATCAAGGATAGAAATGATTCACATGATTATTTATTTAAAAAAATGGTAACTGTTGATCAAAATTATAAAATAGAATAAAGTTTGTATAAATAATAGGAATTGTAGATTTATCGAAACTTTTTGAGATTTCCAATTATAGTAATAATAGATGACATTTATGATAATCGTAAAGTCGTCTGCAATATTAAGATTGCAGAGATAAGCATGATCAACAAATCGGTATTATAAGTATTATATTTGGTGAATAAAGTTGAATAAAGTTTAAAACAATAATATCCCATGTTGGGTGATGATCCCTTAAACCGATTATAGAAACTTGATTAATTTTTGAGGCTGAAGTGTGATAGTACGAAACTTATATTGCACGCGTTACGAAAAAAAAAAAAAAAAAAAAAACTTTGATAAACTGATAAAAATCAATTCGATTATACAAAATAAAAACCTTTCATATTAGTATTATTTGATCGACAATTAGACAGTATCGGTATATAAATAAATGCGAAAAAATCAAATCAAACTTCACATCAAAAATGAGAATTCCAAGCGATCCTCACTATCAAAATATTCCAATTACCATGCAAACTACACTTGAGTCTTTACAAACCAATTTATATTACGAGACGTCTAATACACCTAATGAATTTCAACCGTACCAACCTCAAGGTACTATCGTTAACTCGCAAACAGTGACATCAAATTACCCTACACCATTTATTCCCATTCACGTACCACCTGTATTCAAAATTAAATGGAATGATATTAGTATTAAATCGTTACTTATTTTTTTGAAAGAAAAAAAAGAAGTGCTAAAAGTATTAGTAGAAAATAGAGGCGGTATTGGTGACATTACCATTAAAAAAGAGCTCTGGGAGCATGCATCAGAAGTAGTGTATAATGGTGTAAACTTATATTATAGTCCTGAACAATGCGAAACAAAATGGCGGAATATTAGACGAACTTGCAAGGTGAGTTTATTCACCTTAATAAAAAATTTTACTAACAAATATATTTATTGTTAAATCAAAATTGATTATAATTTAGTGTAAACCTAATTATCGATATATGTCAGAAGCTAGAGAAGTTGATCCAAGAATTTAATGAATTTCAAAGACATTGATTCTAATTATTGTATCACCAAGAAAAATTAATGACGTTAATGAGACTAATTATATGCTTAAAACTAGTTAGACATTCATCAGAGGTTTTAGTAACTTCCAGTTAGGATTTAGAAAATAGATAAATTAAATAAAATTGTATTTTCTATTCGTTATTATAAAAATAAAATTGATTATTGGACTATAAAAATGAGCTGTTAAAGTATTCGGTTATTATTAATATTGACATTTAAAGTTTTTGACTGTTCGAGGTCATATTCTCTTCAAATTAATAAATATTCCACATCCGGACATATTAACGACTTGTTGTTTTTGAGAGAGAGAGAGAGAGAGAGATAAAGAGGATCGAAGGTAATTATGATTCTTTTGTTAACTTCTCACATATATCTTTTAAAATTATTTATTTTTTTTTGCGCGGTCGAAATGCTTGCCCCTCATAAATTCAGAATTTATGCATGTTTGTAAATGCGCGTGATTAAAATACATTAAAATAAAAAAAAATTTATATATATGATTTTAGTAAGATGAATCGGCAGAAGCGATCATAATCCTGCTTGTTATGTTTTGAATAATGTAAAGAGCGTTAACTTCCTCTATTACATAAGCTATTATTACACAGAACAATTGAAAATTAGTTTTGGTAATACCAAAAGTAAACTTTACAAAATATTTGGGGAATTCTAGTTCATGATGATCGGTCAAGAGGACCAATAAAAAATGTTTTGAACAAAATTTATATTTCGCCTCGTCCCGTCAAAAAAACTAATCATCATACAATCATAACATTAACATTTTGCAATTGTTTCTTAGGTGCACCCGAAACCTGGTGAATTGCAGGAGTGAATCCTTGAATGAGAAGTATGAATTTTATTCTGTCAAACACAGTCCTTTTTCGATCAAAATCAGTAATAATATGATCAAAAGGTTATATCGTATCATTAAATGCTATGGAATGTTAGAAAACTATATACGCACAATTTAGTAGTCTAAAAGGCTTTTTTAATTTTGGAAAGATCTTTTCCCGTAAAAAATACCCCTGCTTCTAATATGACAAATCAAGAAAATAATAACTTTTTATCCGAAATTTTTGTTCAAAAAACGAGAAATTATAAACATGAATTTTTGAAAAAAAGCAGATGTAAAGATTTTAACGATCCGAATGGTCTTTTTTTTAATAAAATTTTTCAACTAGAGCCAGTATTTTGTACAAGTACACCAACTTACAATAATTTTCCCACGCGCAGTCTATCGCTAATATATCGTTCCTATACCATCAGGTATGTTCTATTTATAGATCCTATTATAAAATACAATAAAATTAAATTTTAGATCGGTGAGAGAAATTGAAGCTTCTTTTGGTAATGATCTGCGAAATAATCTATTGCTTCTTCTAGAAAGTCGTACTTATGTTCGTTGGGAAGCTTTAATTAAAGTGAATCTAATAGTAGTATTATCACTAAAATATGATCACTTAATCAAAAATTATTTTCGACAGTCACTAATACACTAATAGCAAATGCCCCAATTTTCAACCGATCCTGAAATATAGAAATTTATTTAAAAGAAGTCGTCAATTAATAATAATAATAATAAAAATAGTTTGATAAAAATTTCGGCAATCAAAAAAAGAAAAGAAAAGAAACAAAACAAATCGACAATTATCATTCAATTAAAAATAAAAAATTAATAAAAAATTAAAATTTAAATTAAATATTAAATTAAATTTAGTTACAAAGTATAATAAAACAAAAAATCTAGATATGATTTTAACCTTTTATATATAAATAATCAAATGTATTGCTTAGAATTTGCCATTTTGTGGTAAATTCATAATCCCAAACCAATTCAAAAATCTAAATAATGTCACACATCTTCACCCTTCATTTTCACTAAGTATTTTGTATTTTGGGATCAGAGATATATTGTTTTTTAATCACAATCCTATTTTGTTATTAAGGGGAGAATACCGTGTTAATTAAATATTTTATAAATCCTTTATTTTAAAAAAAATTGAATAGAATAAATTTCCTTAAATTATTAAAAGGATGTTTTGAAATTTTTTTGCTTAATTTTTTTTTTTGTAAACGATACATATATATTCTACTGAGGACGTTGTTAGAATTATGATGCCGACATTTCGACTTTTTAAGCCGTATACAAACATTATACTTTTTTTTAACTATCGCAAATGCAATTTATAATTGATTATATTTTTTTAATCAACTTCTTTATAATTAGTTAATATCAAAGAATGCGCACATTTAGTTCTTTTTTTTTTTTAAAGGTAGGACGAAATTTTGAAAGACTTATAAAACAATTAATTTATTCGGTTTTACAAACACGCATCCCAATTTGGTCGAACAGATAATATTTTTTTTAAAATCTAAATAAGAAACAAGTAGCCTAATTGGTATTGATCTACAAAACTCGCTTTTAGCGAAAAAATTATGGAGGTGGCTAATAATAAGCATAAAAAACAAATATAAACAAATGATAATTGTATATTTTTTTTTTATTTTATATTGGACAGGAAATTTTATATTAACCTTCTTTCATTCAAAAAAAAAAAAATAATCGTTTATTCGATTTAATAAAAATTCGGTGGGTTGGTTAATTATCAACCTGTATTTTATTAAACTGTTCATCTTGATTAGGATATTGACGGTATAAATACAAAAAAATATAGTTAATTAATTTGATTATATACATGGGATGTTAACGTGTTAACGTGGGATCATTATAAATTCCTATTACATAAATTAGAAGAAATAACGAAAAAGGATTAATATATATAAAGAATATGAAGAAACAATAGAAAGTATAATATAAATTATAGAAAAATAAAGAAAGATAAAATATTTAATAAATCATTTTATTTATATGTATCGATTAGCTGACATAATTTAACATAAAACTTGGAATGTCGCCGATTACCCAAAATCTTTTATTTGTTTTAATAATATGGCGTATCCTTATCACTGAAAAGTTTGATAGATGGATAAGTTAAAAAAGAATTAAAAAAGAATTTCAGAATTAAATAAAAAAGGTTTACAACAATGCAAAAATGCAACGTGATAAATGAACGGCTGAGCTGCATTCTGTTAAATTGTAAAAATTGTAAGTAGTACTTGTCGGAAGTTTTAAAACAATTCCGCTAAATAAGAAAAGAAAAAATATTTTAAGAAGTTCATACAATGTTCAAAAAATAAAATAAAATAAAATAAATCAATAAGATAAAAATAGAAAAAAAATAAAATAAACGAATTATATCCGAAAAATTCGAATTCCTTAACTAGTTACGCTTTAAGATATGGTGAATGGCTGAGCTTGCATCAAAATAGTTAAGCTGTATGATTGGAAACAAACACTATGTAGTAATACATGCATGTTTGGAAGTTTCAATTAAAAAAGTTTTTATCAAAATAACAAGCCGCAGCACGTGTTAATTTAACCCATATTTAGAATATTATATGATGGAGGTGGCTGATAATATGTAACTTTCAAAAAAAAAAAAAAATTATTCTCCTTGCGTTCGCAGATATCTAATATCTGTGATAAGAAAATAGGAAATAACAATCTCCCACGGTAACCCTTAGATAACGTTTTGTGTCTTTGTTATCTAGTGATAAGAGTTTGAAAAGAATAATTAAACCGATAATACACGTTTACTTTAAGGCTGAAATGCACATATGTTTGTGGGCGGATGAAAAAATTAAGCGTACACGCATGAAACACGAAAAAATTTTAAATTTTAAATTTTATATGGATGATTGTTTTATTAATTCAATTATTCGAGTTCCACTGCACTATCAGATAAGTGCTATGGAATAAACTGACAATCCTATATAATATAATATATATATATATAAAACAATTTACAAAAATTACTTAATAATCAACCCAAGCTCAACTTATAAAATGCAAATTCTAAATAATCCACAATATTCAATTACTAATACTCCAATTGCCACACCTGAAGCTTTTAATAACACATCTAATATGTCTAATTAGTATAAACTACAAGACAATATATTTATCACGCAAACAATGACTTCTTTACCGTCTATTCAGAAACGTAATTTTCGGATCATCTTCGAAAACTGGGTCTCATTGAATAAACTCAAAATTTTAAATGCTTTCAGATTTTTTCGACTATAGTTTTTATTCGTCCGGAATTTACACGAAAAATCGAATAAAGATTTCTGACACACGTCACATCATATATATGTTAAAAATCACGCCTATGTACAGTCAGAACTCGATATAGCGATCCGCGATAAACATTTATAATAAAATTTATCACTATATAGCGATTTTATTATAAATTTCGCGATATTGCATATACCGAACTCTGGTTGTAAACCAGCTATAATTATTTATTCGCGATAAACCGATAATGATTTTTTTGTCGTTATACCGATGGTCGTTATAAAAAAAATGTTTTTTTTTCTTGATTTAACGATCGATCGTCATTTCACTTTTTTTTTAATATATCGAAATTATACTAATAAAGTAAATATCAAATGTTAAATAAATTAATATAAATATAAATTGAAAGATTTATTTCTTTATTTATCATCTTTTACCAAGTCTTCTGAAAATTAAGTAATACATTGTCTATGGGACAAAAGCAAGAACTTTGTCTCAAAAATATAAACAATCAGAATCTTCAATCCCAATTATATAAATGAGTTTATTAGTTTCGATTAGATTTTTTTTTGTTCCGAATAGTAGTACTGCGCATTTTCACACGAGCCACATTTCGCGCTTAGCCAAATACAGATTGTATGTAACATTGAAGAAATTTTTATTCTTGGAGAACATTTGGCAAATGTCTCGGTCAAACGGTATTTTATCCCCAGTACAAAATAACTTTAATGAAAAATCCTATCTATCAAGCTATCGAATCAAAAAGGTCTCTATTTTTTTTTATTGAAAATTAATTTTGTTGACATTTTTTTTTTTTAACTCTCGGCTTTCGCGTTTGCAGATATAGAGTCATAATGGCATTAAGTTCGTCCTAGGTACTAGAACTATTTTCTCGGTCCCTTTTTGCGAAAAAATTTCTATTAAGAAAAGTGATATCTCCGTAAAATTGTTAACCATCGATCTCCTCAAGGAGTATATCTGGGAATGGAAAAATAATATTCTTAAAGACCTTACTAACAACGCTTCCAAATTCGATCTTTGGCATGTTAATGTCGACGAAGTTGTTGATTTTTCTACCGAAGAAGATGTTGTACAAAACTTGGAGGGAATAAAATGGAACCTCATTTTCTATTTGGTTTCTATGTTAGTGGTCAACTTCCAGAGGGGAAAATCCATATCATCATACAACCACCGGCCACTACTGGTAAGTGTTTCCCAATGGTTTACCTCTCGAACAAAGATAGCTTTTTTGTAGGCTTAAGTCTACGATCAACAATGACAGGCGGATTTTAAGTGTTTACTTCTTTTTATTTCACTATTTTAGTTTCGTCGATACACATCATTCCTGACGGGGTTAAAATTGAAATTAAAAATAAAGGTTCGTTGCATTAGAAGTTTGGCTCTTTAACTTTTCGCTCACGTTCACTCTTTTTTTTTTTAGTTATAAAGACCTTTCCACACGTAAATGCTTTTTCAATTGACCATCTTGTTGACGCACTCGCCTTGATTTGGCACGTTGAGGTGGAAAGTGACTCTCCAGGCCCACAAAATGACCCGTATATTGAACTGAAGCAGGAACCCTCTTTTTTTCAAAATAAATTTGCCCCGTGGTATAACTAAACGAACTCTCACAAAAATTGATCTGTTCTTACGGTAAATCCGGAACGAATTATAACAATCCCTTTTATGATGATCCACAATTCAAAGAAACGGTTTCTCTTGTGCAAAAGAAGATTGAAGAAGAACCGAAAGACATAATTGTGCTCGCTGGGGTTTCAGGAGGTGGAAAAACATCGACAACATTCGGAATTGCCGTGCAACGTTGGTCAATCTATATTGATTTTTCTCCTATTTTAGGGCAATATGACGCCTGGCATCAGAGCTTCAAAGAATCAGAGGCACAAAACCCAAGTTTGATCGTATTTTATCAACAAAATGAAGCATTTCACATGGAGAGGAAAAAACTCTTTCTCCTTTCACCCCGAATTTCTAAAATTTTTAGAAATTTACTGAGAAAATAAAATTGTTTCACTCAAAAACTTTTATTTAAAATTTACAACTCTGTTAGCTAGTTCTTTAGCTCACTTTTTACAAACAGTTTAAAACACTTGAAAGAGTTTATTTATTCGATAACTTTTACAAAATGGTTAGAAAATCCGCAAAAACTTCTGTCAACAAAACCAACAAAGGTCGCTATGACTCCCTCAAAGCTAAGTAACCTGAAGCTAGCGGCTCTTTTCGCTCTGGAGATAAGCCCAACCCATCCTTGGTTACTGACAAGGATATCATTGACGATACTTACGTCAGACAGTCTACTCTGCCACCCAACGTTCTCGACACTCAAGAATTTATTTCCATCGAAAATGATACAAATATAAAAACTGAAAACTCTGACTTTATTATCATTCCTTGTCCTTCTCCTTTTGCATACGCTGCTTCTATTAGCAAAAATGCCAAGGACCTCCTACTCCCAAATTATCTGAGTGATCAACAATACGTTTGCGTATGATGATGCATTCAGAAGGCTGAATGTACATCATGTAAATTTTGTATATTCTGCAATTATCTATTTTGATAATGCAGAATCCATGCAAGCTGCGCTTCCTATCCAACTTCTTGAATTGAACATTAAAAAATTTGTGGACTACACTGCATATAAGGATAATACACAGTTCTAAAATAGAACTCTGCGTGTTACTAATATTCACCTTAGCTTTAAAAAAGAAACAATTACTTCAATCTTTTCTAAATATGGCACTATTACAAATATCCGCATGCAGACTAGAGACCTATAGCAACAGGTATTTATCACTTATAACAATCTGGATGCAATTAAACCATTTTACATAACATGGTCCCGTTATATTTACAATGATTATATCTGCATTTATCCTGCATGTTCTACTCCAAAATAAGTCAAAGCCAGAAATAAATTCTGGGTTAAGTTAACCAATCTCCCTTTAGTACTTTCGCTCGTGATTTTAACAATATTTTACTTGCAATCAAAGCAAAATCTTGCTATATCCCTCATTCAAATAATTACAAACCCAGACCTTTTGTTATTCTTTATTTTGAATTAGCTAAGAATCTACAGAAAGCTATCACAAATGATTATGCTTTTGACAACAATGAACTGCAATGGTACGCAGCTGACTCTAAATATTGCCACAAATATGACGCAGTTGATTATATCGTCATTAAATGCCCTCTTATTCTAAAACAAAAAAATCAACAAATAAAGTTGAAGAACCTAAACCTCCTAGATCTGAATTGCCTTCTGTTTAATAACTTTACAATCATTTCAAACCTGTTGGATCTCGCTCCCTTATTATCAAAAATTCTACATAAAAAAAGAAAGAACAACAATCTTTTACTCTTCTAAAACTGATCTCCAATAAGGGTAAAGGACTACAAACAGTTGAAGACTCTATTCATAACTCTCAAAATACCTTAACTGATGATACTAACAAAATAATTTGATAAAATTCTTAATATGTTAACAAAAATGCAAAAAGATATGTCTGAATTAAAAGCTTGTATATTGAAGTTAGAAAAATATGAATTTAACTCAGACTCTACCTCAATCATCCTTACTTCTAATACCCTCCTAAATCTGCATCACATAATTTGATCTTAAATTTCAATCAGAAAAAACATACTCGTATTATCAACTTATTATCTGATAAAAACAACTCCTCTACTCCTAAACCTATTGATCCCAAACTTCAAGAATATATGAATGAATAAAATGCTATCATCAGACCTTCACAAATAACTCAAAAAAGCAATGACTCAAATCACCATCTTTGCCAACAAGAATGTACAATAACTCCCTCACCCTTAACCTTTATCCTTAATCATGATTAATAACAATAATAATAATCTTTCTAATACTGATAACGATATACTCATAATATTATTTTAATAAAATGATATATTATCACCTATCCTCACCATCATACCTGCTACACACAATATCAACTCTCTTCAATGTTTGATCAAAAATCAATTCATTAACGATTCTTTTTTAGATTTTGACACTAATTTTGTAGGTCTTACAGAAACTCGACACAAAGCTAATCAAACTTTTTGCAACTTATCTGATCCTACTTATACTTCTTTTTGGAGTAATAACATTAATCCTTACGTTGGTATTGACATTCTTATTAAAAAATCTTGGATAATTTATATTCAAAAAGCATTTTTAAATTACGATAGATTTATTTACATTGACCTTTATTTAGCAGGCAACATTAAGTTTAAAATATTTTGTATATACTTATATGCTTCCACTGAGATGAAAATCAAGAAAGAAAGAATTAAACTGCACAAAAAAATTATTAATCATGTTAAAGAAGGACTCAAGTCTAACTTTAGAACTATAATTTTAGATGACTTTAATGCTAATTTAAATATATATTGATCACTCATACACAATAGAAAATTGATTCATTAGCAAATGGAATTCTGTCAAAAACTTTTTACCCTGAATTTTCTCGATCTCTATAACATATGTCATAATATACCCCAACCAATATACAATTCAGGACCTTATAGTTCCTAAATCGATACTATTTTTACTTCACTCAATATCACCTCAAATTTTTATTTTCCTATATTGACACTCCTGACCTTTATTCTTCAGATCACAAAATTATTTTTGCTTCTTTTTCTGATTTTTGCAAACAGCAATCTGCCAAATCTCGTAAATTACAAAATAAAAGGCAGATTTCTAACTTAAAAGCAATGAACAATGCTAAATAGACTAAATTTGCTACATATACCAACCTTTATTATTGCTATCACAATTTTGATCATTTTAATAGCCTCTTCAACAATAAAACTAATATAAACATCCTATAGATCCAAATAAAGACTACTATTCTTGCAGCAAATCACAACTGCATCTCTCAAATCTGGATCTCTCCTCAACAACACCACAAACATCCTTTTTAACAACCTGACTCTCTTATTAGTGCCCATAAAGTTACTTCTTTTTTTTTAAAATTCAAAAACACTTTCATTCAACAACAAATCTAACCTAACATTAATGACTGACAAGCTATTAAATCAGTTGTAGACAAATTAGTCCTAATGGCTAAACTTCTTACTGTCACTTTTCCTCTTCTTTAGATACTTCTAATGTCTGTAATGTAAAAAAACAGCTCAAAAACATTTATAAATCACTCTTAACTCTTGCTCAAATTGACGTTTAACGTATCAAAGAAAAAGTCATCAAAATCTTTATAGACAAAAGATATGATAACCTTCAAAACGATCCTTCCAAAATAATTGATTCAATTTTAAACAGAAAAAAGTGTTCTATCATGTTAGATTGCCTACTCATCAAAGATAAGAATACCTCTACAAATTATTTTACAATCAATCCTAATGAAATTAAAAGCGCTACTATCAATCATTTTTAAAACTTCACACTTTTCTCCTTACCTGTGTTACTATTATCTATCAGATGGATTGATCAATTCAATCCTAAAGATTACTTTACTAAAACTTATTAATTTAAAAAAATATAGTAAAAATATTTTTAACATATATCAGGTATATGGCAAATGTATTTATGTTAAGTTTATTATAACTATATTTTTTTCATATACTAAAAATATGTTAAAAATATACCAAATTCATATAATAATAATGTAATAATTATACATTAAAAATATGTTTAATATATATATAAATATAGTTAAAATACGTTCATAATATAAAACAAATGTAAATTTAATATTTTTATTTTATTTCTAAAATAAGTTTACATATAAAGGTAATATTTTTGTTAACTGTTAAAAATATGATCAAAATATATTAATATTATAATATATATAAAAGAAATACATAGGATATATCATACAAATTATATATTAAAATTTTCTTTCCAATAACATGAAAATTGGATTTCTAATATCTAATAAATAATCCCAAATCGAAAGGTTTGAAATTTCCTATCTTTTAATATTTCATCCATTTATATTGCTTTGTAATAAAATTCATTTAAAATATAATTTTAATTAGTTTCATCATGCTCAATATTGCTGCATATATTTGTACAATTATGTATAAGATGAACATAAGATATAAGATCGATAAAATTAATTGAAAAGATTTGATACTAACGCAACTCTTCAGGCTTTTGGATATTGTAAAGTAAGCATTCTGATATAGTATCAATATAGTTTGTCACCTAAAACTAATCAAATAAAAAATGTATAATAGTGACCGTTGTTTGCTTGATGCTGAATAATTAAATTGATCCTTACATATGCAATACCTTCAGATTCTTCATTTAGTTCAACAATATCACCAATTTGTAGTTTCAATCATATAGGTTCTTAATTACTTTTGAAAATGATGTATGCAATTGAACTATAAAATTCTATTTTCTTGTTCATTATTGTAGCATTTGAATATAAATAATCAGTATATGCTCTATATAGATCCCGAAAGAATGAATAATTTTCATCTAACTTTTTTGATAGACTTTTACTCTTAATTTTTTTGGTATCCTATTAGTTGTAAAGCAAAATATCAATAAAATTTTTGTCATAGCATACTGTTAATATCATATCTAAATAATATTGAAAGTCAATTATGTAATTTAATTAAGAAATTTTGATTTCATTGTAAATTAATAATAAATATTTACTATTATCTTCTTTATTTATAAATGTAAATGGACTTTCTGTAGCATACCAGTCTGATAATATTACGTAAAGCTTTAGATCTGTAGTTAAATTTTTTAACGCATTAGTTCTTATATTAAAGCAAGAATTTGTTTAACCATCAATGAGATATTGTAGTGTCTATACTGTATTATATTATCAGGTAAGATCAAGTTCAATCACTTTGCGATTCATATGTGAAACTATTCCCTTAAATATCTAATGAACTATTTCTTTTACACCAATAGCAGTATTTACAAGTATGATGAAATTACGAGTATGTTGTGAAAATGTATATTTATATGTAAATTAGGAAGATTTGTAAAGTTATTTGAAAATAGCTATTAAATAAAAAAAAATAAAAAAATAGTATTAAAATGAATTATTAATAAATGTAGCTGAAACTTTCAGTTTCATTCATTAACCTGTATAAGCATATTATGTTCTCTTTTAAGATATTCCTGTAATTTCTGGTAAATATTTTCTGTCATAATAATTGATAGAGTTCTGAATGAGTCGAGTCAAGTCAAATTTAAAGATCAACTCGACTCAACTCTTTTTTTTCGAGTTGAGTCGAGTCAAATTTATTTTATAAAATCTTTCAATTTGATTTGATTCGAGTTATACAAATTTTAAACTCGACTTGATTTGATTTGACTCGATTTTAACTCGATTCGACTTTGAAAAAAATAATAAAAAAAAGAAACGAAAAGATTGGGAGGAGGAGGGAAAGGGGGGAAGAGTGAACGATTCGGGTTATCGTTCAAGTCGAACGATTCATCATCGTTCTTCTTGAACGATAAAAGAAATCGTTCAAGTTGAACGATTCATCATCGTTCTTCTTGAACGATAAAAGAAATCGTTCAAGTTGAATGATTCATCATCGTTCTTCTTGAACGATAAAAGAAATCGTTCAAGTCGAACGATTCATCATCGTTCTTCTTAAACGATAAAAGAAATCGTTCAAGTCGAACGATTCGTCATCGTTTTTCTTGAATAATAAAAAAATATCATTCAAGTCGAATGATTCGTCATCGTTCTTCTTGAACGATAAAAAAAATCGTTCAAGTCGAACGATTTGTCATCGTTCTTCTTGAACAATAAAAGAAAATCATTCAAGTTGAACAATTCATCATCGTTCTTCTTGAACGATAAAAAAAATAGTTCAAGTTGAACGATTCGTCATCGTTCTTCTTGAACGATAAAAAAAATCGTTCAAGTTGAACGATAAAAAAATATCGTTCAAGTCAACTCGAGTTAACTCAAGTCAACTTGAATCAAGTCGAGTTTAAATCGAGTCAAGTTAAATATTTAACTCGACTTGAATTTGACTTGACTCACAAATCATCGAGTCAAAAAAACATAAACTCGACTCGATTTAAACTCGACTCAGCTTATCTGACTCGTGAGTTAACTCAACTCGTCTGAAACTCTAATAATTGAGAATACAAGTTTTAGTACCTTAGCTTCAATTGCCCAACATATATATAATTTTGATACTGCCAAATTTTGTCTTATCTCAGATGTTGTAAGCCAATTATTCAAAGTCTTCACCTTTATATGATAAAGTTTTAAAAAGTGTTCAAATATAAATGGCATTATCATCACAAGCCTTAACACATCAGAGAATATAAAACTCTGACGATGTCATAATAAATTAAGTATTTAACACCAATGTGTAGGCTTTTTGATCTGTTTCTAATACTCAATAAAAGAATTTTCACTATTCATATTAAACACACATTAAATGTCACTTCTAGTAGAGTACGTATCTTTCCAACCATAGAGTGATATACGTCATGTGGTATTTAAAAATATCAGTCACATTTAAGTATTTTAAACAGTTCTAATTTTGCTAAACCATATTCAGCTATTAATTATTCTTTTCTTGTCCTTGAATTTTGTCTAGCGATTTCTAAAAACCATTCCTCAGTTTACTGGTAAAAGCGAGCATTTTTTATATAGTTATAATCAATACTAGCATATTGATTATTTGGAATATTATATGTTCGGCATCTATATTTAGCATTATGTCTTTTCACATCTGCCAAGTCATTGCCTTATGGCAAGTTAGCAGTAATGCAACTAATACCATCTATAACAAATGCATTATCATTCAAAGTTCTTATAATAAGACCTTTTTTCAAACTCTTTATATCCTGAAAAACTGGTTTAATAAAATCATCAAAATTTGCTCCAAATAGAACAAATCCTATTAAAAAATAGTTTTAACTGTTTTCAAAATATTAGTGGCATATTTTCGAATTGTAAATACATCTCACTTAAGAAATGATACATGTTTCTATAAGTACCAAAATCATCAAAATAAATGTCTATAAAAATCTTTAAAATTAGAAGGTGTTATAATAATCGTGTGAATGTAATATATTCACAAGGTAATCGATGCCACATTTTTATATCACAAAATTTCCATCTACCATCAAATTGATATACAATTTTTTTGATATAATATTCATATTCTTCAAGTTCTGACATATCACATAACTAAATAATAATACGTCATTCTATATTCACTAGAACAACCAAATTTACTTTACCTTTAACTAACTATAACTCATTACTATTTTCATGAGTATGTCAGTTATTTGTTGAATAGTAGTTAGAAAGATTCTTATGCAAAAAGATTCAATCAATTTTTAGTTTAAATGAATTATTATTAGTTTTATCAACTACTACACTTCGTACACAGCGTATGAATGTTAAAGATTGTTTATGGTATTCTAAAATTCACCTACTTTATATACTAGTAAAAAAATAGTTATTATTTTTTAAAACATAAATTTTATAAAAAATTTATTACTAACCTTCGTTGTTAGTTTCTATTTCATATTCTCCAAACATTGGTGAATCTTGTTAGAGTTCACTATGTTAAAATTTTCATCATTCATTTGTAACTACTCCAGATCTGAAGTATATCTTTGGCATGAGTACCAGATTATTTAAAATACATTTCAAATATGTTATCAGAGAAATAGTAAATGCTGTTTTAGTAGATTTATATGTGATAGTATTCATTGTATACAAAGGAGTACTTTGTGTTTGCATACTTTAACTAATGGTAGTTTATCTTACTATTTACAAATCTGGCGAATATTTGCAATAAGATCCTCTTTTCGATATTCAAGATGAGTGAGAATCTTAAAGAGATCTTTATATGCAGAGATTGCTATGTGAATAAATCATTATGTTAGTATATTAATTATTTTAAACTCATTCATTCAAAATAATACCCACATATTATATGTTTGGTAATCCAGATAAAGAGCATCGATGATGTAAAATTAGGAAAAAATGGACCATATTTCCTATTGAAGTCTTTAAAATCAGAAGACTCTTTTTCTAATAGATCATAATTGTCAAAAAATTCTTCTTCTTCAGTATTAAGTAACAGTTTATACGAAAGTTGGTAGTCCTGCATTTGCTTATCAAAATCCTTAAAATTATAAAATATATGTTATTAGGATTTCTGAAATTTTCTATAATATCCATTATGATTTATATTATTAAAATATATTAATTGATCTCATTTATCATTATTTCTGATGAGATATAACTGTTGGAGCTCTCTACCTTCAGTTCTTCTTTGATAACTGAAGTAACACTTTCTGTATTAATATATTCTGAAATATTATCATACGAGACGTCTTCCATCAAAGCAACACTTTTTGTATTAATATATTCTGAAATATTATTATATGAGACGCCTTTTACATTATTAATATGTTCTGAAGAATTATCAGAAGATATAAAAGATTCATTATCTTCTTTATTTTATATCTTTTTAGATGATTTAACACATAACTTCAGAATCAATGCATAATATGTATAGGAAATTCTTCTTAGACATTTCATTATTTATTTTTTTTTTGAGTAAAACAATTGATTTAAAATAAAAAAATAATACATATGCTTTATAGTATAATAATTAAACTTTTTATTAAAACTGATAAAATAAAATATAAATTGACTACATAAATATTAAATAAACTGTATACTGTAAACAGTAAAGAAAAAAAAATATTATTTGCTTATGTAATTTGTAATTATCAGAATTTTCTTTATTTATGGTATTGATTTCTGAATTAGAAAATATTAACTAATTTAAAGTATCAAAGACTTTTTGCGATTGATTGATGTAAAGATTTTTTAAGACTTTTATGATTAATTGATTAAATATTATTCAGATAATTCTTTAATTGATTTTTGTTTCGTATTTAATTAATCGTTATTTTTAAATTTAAACAAACTTCTTTTTCTAATTTTCATTTGTACTTTAATATGACTAAACAAAAATTTGATAAGTTGAAAAATTCTTAAATAAATATTATCTATTTATTTAAAACTTTTATTATTATAATATAAAATTGAAACTGTCTGATGAGAATGAGAGTATGTTATAAAATTCATTAATATTTGTTCACATTATAGCATCATGTTTTTAATCAATACTACACATAATTTTGCTTATAGCTTTAAATAATAAAACTACTCTGACGAAAAGGCTCCAGTAAGAAAAACACAAATACAAAAAGTAAATTTAAATATGACTCCTATAGAAGCAATACAAAAAAAATAAATCAAAAACAAAAAAACAGTCAGAAGATATCACCAGATTCAAATATGACTCCTACAAGAGTGATATGAAAAACAAATCCTACAAAAACAACATGAAAAAAAAATCAAAAACAAAAAATTGGTCAAGAAACATTACCAGATTTTCTATTAAGTGATGTTGAAACTGCAAGTCTAACTACATTTATTTTATCAGATGATGAAACTATGGATTAAAATCAATAGAATAACTTTTCTGTTATATTATTATCCAATAACAATCATATATCAACTACACTTTATTCTACTGAATCATCGATAATTTTATATTTTTCTAGGAAAATGTGATCAACACAAGATTATAAAGAAACATAACAGCAAATTAGAGATATTTCAATTGAAGCTAACTTATATTCAAAGCAACTGGCACAATTTTGCATTATATCCAATAAGTTTGAAATTGCTTATTGGTTAGCTCACCATAAAAGAACTTTAGATTTAGCAATAAATATTAAAGATGAAAATGATAAATGAGATCAATAAAGAATCTGATATGACTTCGACATCTACATATGCTTTAACATAACGATTTTCCTATGAATCTGTACCAACACTTCTAAAAATTAATCAGGTAATAAAAACAATGTTGGTTTTTTATAAAAATTCAAAAAAAAACAAAAATAAAAATAAAAATCATACTAATATTTATTTTATAATTAGCATATTAAATTACATTACAAAAAGAATATAAAGCACTTTTCCTTTGAACAAGAAATAATACAACAGCATTATATGAAGAGCTTATTGTCTGAGTATATAAAATCGCCAAAATTGACCTGAGAATAGAAACTTTAGTTAAAGATTTAGGTGAATAGTTTAAAACCTATCGCTATAAGTTTCATGTAACCATTTTAAAACTTGCAAATAAATTTAAAATAACACACAAAAGGTTTGTAATAATAATATGATAAAAATATTATAAATTATTTAATTATTATTATTATTATTACTATTATTATTAATTCTACTTGACTAATTAATTAATAGGGTAAAAGAACTATATAGTAAGTTAGATAAATTCATAACTGAGGACGTGTGAAAACAATTATTTCACATGCATTTAAAAGTGACTGACCAACAGAAATTAAGAAAAAATTTAATAATTGTCATAAAACTTGGCCTCTTTGTTTAGACAGTTATTAAAACAGTTTTAATTGCAATGAGAACTAAGGATAATACACAAATGATCATTAAAAAGTGTGATAAAGATACCATTGACTTGAAAATACTAACTAAACTTGGATTAGTAAAGGTATTACCAGTATGAGAACTCTTGGATTATTAAATCAGAAGAGTAAAGTAGTAATTAAATTTACTGATCAATATGATAACTGAGTGAGAGAAGTTATAAAGCAAATAATTTGATTATATTTGTATTTCTTTCTGTATATTTGTTACATATAATATTTATATATATAAAATATTGTGATAATATTTCTGAAGGCTTGAAAATATATTTCAAAGTATTTATTATTAATTGTGTTATTTCGTAAATTATTATTAAGTGTAAATTTATACTAAAATTTTAATATATATAAAAAATATTATAAATCTACCTTATCATCTGTTAATCATCTTATAATTACATCACAAACATTAAAATATTTTGATTATATATTAAATATATAGTTGCTATTTGTTAGAAATATGTCTATTATATTTTTCAAAATCGATAGGTTTCTGTAAAGACTATGTAGATGAATCACACTACTCAAACTTAATGCAATCACCTATATATGATGAGTGTATTACTGTTCTCAAATCACTTTCTAATAATAAAGCTGCTAATCCTTCAGGAATTTCTAATAAAATATTTTCACACCTAAGTGATAAACTTCAACAACTATTCTAGAAACTCATCTGTATGTATTTTACCTTAGGTGATATTTCAAACGAATAGAAAATCATACACATCTACTCTAACCTAAAGCCTATGGACTAAAAATGCGATATAACAAAGATCAGACCTATTACCTTATTGAAAACTTGTTAAAAAGACTTTGTCAAGATTATCACTAATAGACTTTCTACAATACTTGCCAAATACAACATATTACGAGGTGAAAATTTTACTAGTCTACCTGGTAGATTAATTAAAGCTTCTATCAAAATTGTTAACATATTACTTGAAGATGCAATCAAAAATAAAAAAGAAATCTAGATTCTACTTCAAGATCTCTTTAAAGCCTATGATAGAGTAGATTTAAAGTTTCTTCATCTAGCTCTCAATCACATCAAAGTTTTATGACTTGAGCTAAAAAGAAATGTTATTACTAAATATAAATTTGTCAAAAAATGTTTAAACTTTTAAAGAAAGTTTGTATTTATCAATTTGAGCTAATGGCTCTACGACTTGAGCTAAAAAGAAATAAGTTATTACTAAACATAAATTTGTCAAAAAATCAAAACTTTAAAAAATGTTTGTATTTACTATTTGAAGCAGATCGCTTCTTTAAAAAGAAAATAAAGTTATTACTAAGCATAAATTTATTAAAATATCAACCCTTTTAAAGAAAGTATATATTTACTATTTTTTACATTAGAAGTCTTTTGCTTCTTTTTTATAAAAGAAAAAAAATTAGTAATCCAAAAAAAAATATATAATTAAACTTTAATAACAGTATATTATTATATTACCTCTAAGTCTTTTTGCTTTCATACCCATTTATTTATTTAGAAATCATTATTGTGTTCGTTACCTAAAAAATATATATATAAAATATTTTAAAAATATATTGTAAAAATTAAAAATTTTATTAAATATAAATATAAATTCTTTATATTTACGAAAAGGATCCTAAAAACGGATATTAAATAATTCGTAATATTGAAGGACTAATTTACCCTTCTTTCCCCTATCATCTCCTGATCTCAACAACTTTAAATTCTAAATAAAAAGGAAAAAAAAAAATATTTATATATAATGTATTATTTTGTTTTTATTACCATTTTTATAATTTTACTTATGTCATATTCGATAACTAAAGAGGAAAATTTTCTCTGGTATTAAACGTCAGAAAAATTGCTATTAGCAATTTCATTCACTCTTTAGATTAAATCAACCCAAAATTGTTTCTTGGAATTTTCCTAAGACTTATGATAATCCTAAAATAATTAATATAATATATTAAAATAATTTATATTAAAATATTTATATTATTTCGTTCTCTTTACTCTTGTATAAGAGCGTCAGTAACTTCCTTTGATCACTTAACTCTTGGTAATTTAGCAGAAGTAGAAACAGAAGCAGAAACAGAAACAGAAACAGAAGCAGAAGCAGAAGTTGATAAAGACATATTGTAAAATTAAAATAAGTTTTGTTAAAAAAAAGAAAAAAACAAAAAACAAAAACTTCTTTTATATACTTGAATTATAATTACATATAAGGGCATTAAATTTCTAATATATCAGCATATATTATCAATATTATTTATTTGAAATTTAATTTACGAAAAATTCAAATTTTTAACACATTAGCATTTATTGTCAATATTATTCATTTGAAATTTAATTTACAAAAAATTTAAATTTCTAACATGTCAGCATTTATTGTTAATATTATTCATTTGAAATTTAATTTATGAAAATTCAGATTTCTAACATGTCAGCATTTATTGTCAATATTATTCCTTTGAAATTTAATTTACAAAAAATTTAAATTTCTAACTCAATGTAAATTTCTAATTCAATATAATAAAAATTTCTTATTAAATTTTTTTGGGGAATGATCAAAATTTTGATTAGATTAAGATCGATATTAATTAAAGTTAAACAATAGAAAATAATAAAAATATCAGGAAAATATCAGGTTAAGTTAAGGATAAAATGGGATTTTAATTGGTAATTTTCTGATCATAAATCCTTTTAGTTTAAAAAATTGCTAATTACCCAAACAGGAATCTGATTTTCTATTACATCTATTTTTTAATGATAATCTTTTTTTTAATTTAAATATCGCAATAATTATTATTTTATTTTTTTATATTCTTTAATTTATTTTTTTTCGTTGGCTGCTTAATTTCGTTGAAAGTTGTCTTTTA